GCTAAAGTGATCCTCCTCCTGCCTTAGCCTCCCTTGTATCTGGGATTACAGGTGTGCACCACGATGGCTGGCTAATTTTTCTATTTTTCGTATAGACGAGGTCTCGCTCTTGCTCAGGCTGGTCTCGAACTCCTGAGCTCAAGCAGTCCTCCCACCTCATCCTCCCAGAGTGCTAGGATTACAGGCGTGAGCCGGCCAGGAGATGAAGTTCCGAAGTCAAACAGGTATAGGATTTCCACATGCTTCATGTATTGGGAAATGGTTTAATTTCTTATATTTTCTTAGCTGCAGAGGCACAAAGAGTTCATACTATTCTGTGATAAATAAATGCCCAAAGTAGCCACTGTATATTGGGCATCTACTCTGATCCAGTCATGTCTCTCCATTGTCATTAATCTTTATAACAGCACTGTGGGGTGAGAATTATTCTAATTCCCATTTGATACAAAAGTACATTATGTAAAATGCCCATTACAGTGTCCAGCTCAGTAAATTGTGGGAATGGTGAAGGTAATGATAGTAATAGTAATTGTAGTTGCTTTTGTGACCGTGGTTATCTCACAGCCCCATGTTCCCATTTTAACTGAATCAATTTAAGGATATCAAGAGGCAGCAAAATTACGGAACATAGGATTCAAAGTCAGGTTTATCTCACCAGGACTTCTGTTGTTAAACATTATACCATATTGTTATGCATTCCTCAGGTTTTGGTGTTTTTTTGTTTGTTTGTTTTTTAGATTTTTAGATTTGTTAAATCCAGGCACTGTGCATAGAGGCACTTCATTTTTAATGGGATAGTATTTCCAAATTATATTTAAAAACAGTTTTGGTGGTTTTTCTTTTTTTCTGAAAACATATTGGCATGCTACCTAAAGGGCACGTTTCCTCTTTAGTATATAAATTTGTATATACTAACATCAGGGAGTCATTTCAATGAGTTAGCTACCTGCTTGTTTGATTCTTCAACTGTTGGTCTAGGTGTTGCTGGTTTCCTTGTTCTTATGCAATGGGAAAAAAATCTTGGTTTGGAGTAATAGCCTATTCTCCATGAATTATATTTCTCAAATAACTGTATGGGTTATTTCTATGCCTCTTTTAAATTGCTATTATTGCTAATGAAGATAATCTTAATGTCTTAACCAATAATTTGTACAGTTTTACTCTAAAATTTAATGTATTTCATAAATGAAATTGTAGAAATAGAACATTACTATATAATTTATAATCACATCATATACCAATAGGTGTGAATATTTAGTAATATAAATTTAGCAAGATCTGTTATTTAGTGTTTATTTTTAGCCTGTGCTATGCATGTTTTCTAATTAGTAAAAGGTTTTTTACCTCATGGAGATTTAAAACTTAAAAGACAGATTGGGGAGGAATACACTGACGTGTGATCCATATTTCTTAGTACTGTGTACATTTAAAGGTATTAAAGATCTCAGAATACTACTTAAAATTATATCATTTATTGGGACATGCATGAGTTATTTACTAGTTTTACATTGTGTTTATTAGATAAGAACTGTGTATTGAGATTCCATAGAAAGCATAGCAGTGTACTGAGAGCTGTTCTCAGGAATGCTGAAATATAAAAGTACACTGACTTCAAGGGAGCACCTAGCCACGTTTGTTTGCTCAGAGTTTGGCCAGTACGTATAGAAGTCTGGTTCCTTTGAAATACTCTAAATCTGTGATCCCCAAACCCCAGGCCGCAGAGCTCCGCGCCCCCCCCATCCCCATCCCTAATCCATGGAAAAATTGTCTTTCATGAAACTTGGCGGAGGGAGGCGGCGCCCCCGTGCACAGCGGCGGTGAGCTGTAGTTGGGTGATGGAAGTTTCATCTGTATTTACAGCCTCCCTTCAACCATTGCTCACATCACCACCTAAGCACTGCCAACTACCGCCTCCACCATACCCCCTATCCCCCGAACCCCCCATCCGTGGAAAAACTGTCTTCCATGACAGTGGTCCCTGGTGCCAAAAAGGATGGGGACCGCTGCTCTAAATCAAATTCACAAAGCGTAACCTTTAGCAAAATGTGTATCATCCACTTTGCAGACTTCTGTTAAGGAAAAAAAAAAGTACTACATATATAAGAACCACTTTACAAAGTAAAATTTTTTCTTTGTATTTCTCTTACAACTGTGAATATGTATGAAAATGAGCAATAGCATTATTGGCACGGCTAGCCCTCAGAATATTTGCTCACTTCACGCTAGCATGAAGTTTACAATGCCATTGAAACCACTGAAGTTTTACAGTTTATAAAACTCTTTCTCATACATTCTTACTTCATCTTTACAACAACCTAGTGAGGAAGTCGAGTGGATATTTGCTATTTCTGCCTGCCAGCATCACAAGATCCTTTTTACTTGGGGAGACCCCTGAGATAAGAGGAGTGGGCAGCAGGGGTCTGCCTCCGTCTTCTGAAATCAAGCAAGGGTAGGCTTCTCTTCCGCTTCCTTGGCAGCTCAAGCGCTCTCACGTGACTGAGGCTCAGCCAATGAGACAAGCCTACCTGGGAATAGTCCCCAAAAGTGAACGAATCAGAGTAGCCGGGGAGAGTTTGAGACTCCTTCTGCCAAAGACAGTTTGCACCACCAGCTGTGCTCCTTGGTGGTGGAACCAGCTAAACTTCAAGCAGGGGTGGGGAACCTGCGGCCTCAAGACCACGTGTGGCCCTTCAGATCCCCAAGTGTGGCCTCTCAACCAAATTCACACTTCACAGAACAAATCCCTTTATTAAAAGAATTTGTTCTGTAAAATTTGGATTCAGTAAAAAGGCCACACTTAAGAATCCAGTAGACCACATGTGACCCCAAGGCTGCAGAGGACCAATAAAGGAACATGAGTGTCCTGACTGGACTCCTTTGTTTCTGCCCATTTTTCTCAAGGTTTTTCAGCCTTTCCCCTCAGCTAGTCATCTCATATCTTTTCAGCACATCCTTATCATGTTTAACTTAAGTAGAATATGTTTTCGTTGTTTGCAACGCAGAACGCAAGTGATTAAAAATTTTTGCCGTTCCCCATTTATAGATGAAGAAACTGAACCTTACCGATGTTGTCAGTTGCTTGAATTGTAGTTATAGATTAATAGAAAAGGCAAGTCTAAATTCCGCATCTTCTAGTTAAGGGTTGTTTCTTTCACAGCACACTGTTTTCCCAGATGCCTTCAGTGACCTCTGCAGATAGTGCGGTGTGCTTCCTTCCTCCGTCTCCTGATTGCAGTGTAATCCTCTTTCCTGTCAGTGCTTCTCTGCTTGATCTCAAATTTTGCCTCCCACCCTGGACTGTTGAGCACCTTTGAAGACAAAGATTGTACTCATCATTTTTTCTCAAACATATACTGGAGTTCTATTTGCATAGTCAGTACTAATAAAGATTTTAATGAATGAGTGAGCAAATAAGTGTATAAATTACTCAACTGAAAGCACTACTATGGATTTGAAGTTGTTACTACAAGTATAAGGTTGATTTTAAAAACACCACCCATGTTCTTTATCAGTCAGAATTTTACACTATTTTAAATAAAGTGCTCTGCCTTGAACATATAAAGATGTTCACTTAATAATCATTTATTTCATGTTTATTATGTGCTGGGTCCTTATTAAAGAAATAAATAAGAATCAGTTTCCTTTTTTAAGAAGTCACGCAGACTGATGGTGAAACAAATGATTCCATAGCTCAGATAATGGAGCTGTGGGAAAAAGAGCTGTAGTAATCTAAAGAATGATTCAAGCAGCAGGCCCACTGTCAGCAGCCATGGGAACCACTAAACTGGCATAGAGATACAGCTCTGGGCAGGACGCTGTGCACATCAAGGACAATAGCCATAGCCCTTTGAGAGCTGGAGTAAAGCACAATGTGCTTCGCCTTTCCAGAATAGTGTGAGCTTTGTTTAAAAAAAAGAAAAAAGAAAAAAAGAGTTCTCTTATAATTATTTTTAAAGGGATATAGTCAAGTCTTGTTATCAAAAAAATTAGAATAATTTTTAAATTAACTCTGTGCCATTTGGGAATAACACATAAGACTCTATTTTGGGTTGGCACAAAAATGAGAATGGAGATAGATCTGTACCTTTAAGTATAAGCCCAATGCAATAGAAACAACAAATAAAGATATATATAAAAGGATATAACATTTATGTATATGTGTGTCTATGTATGTATGTATAAAATAGGATAAAAATTTGTTAATATAACTTTCATTCTTTACAAATTATGCACACAATAGGAGAAAGATTTAACTTCAGAATGTTTTGGTGTCATTCGTAGACAATTACTACGGTACCCCAAAGCCTCCAGCAGAACCAGCACCATTATTATTAAATGTAACAGACCAGATACTTCCGGGAGCCACTCCAAGTGCTGAAGGAAAACGGAAGAGGAATAAATCAGTGAGCAACATGGAGAAAGCAAGTATAGAGCCTCCTGAGGAGGAAGAGGAAGAGAGGCCTGTGGTCAATGGAAATGGAGTAGTAGTAACGCCAGGTTAGTCATATACATTTTTTATAGCTTCATAATCAGTTTGCCATTTTAGATGTAAATGTGTGTGTGTGTGTGAATATGATATATCTGTGTGTTCAGGTATAAATATAAATATGATTACAATTATCTTCAGAGAGAAGATCATGATATCAAAGGGAAAGGATATGATTTTTGTATCCAACTTATTCTACTTTCAGCATATTCTTTTAACTTGCTTAATTTTTGGCTTCACTTATACAATATTAATGACAATGGCAACATAGTGAATTGCTTAAACCTCTAGAAGCTGTTACAAGTCATAAATATGATTGTGTAAAGTTTTGAGATCTTTGTTAATTAATATTAGAGGAAATATATTCCTAGAAATCTTGCTATACTTACAGTTCTGTAAACAGAGGTTGTGTCATGTGATTTAGTTTACAACCTCAATGAATACAGTCCTCAACATGGCTGCAGCTGCAGAATACTCATATATGTTTCCCCTTCCTCACCATCCAATCTGGCAACATGGAAAAAGTATCTTTATACATTGACAATTTGAAGACACCTACCATTGAACAAGGAAAAGAATAGCTATGCCTTTGATTTATGGTCTGTCATATCACAAATATAAAGAATATTATGCACAAATACATGGTGTGTTTGTACAAGGTATGATTTTGCTTGTTTCTTATGCTTATTACTAATAGAGCATCAAAAATAGATTTTTAATAATATTACTCATAATTAAATGTTACCAAAACAACAGTGCATAGCAGTGGGCATTGAAAAATCTAAGGACTGTGGTCAACCTCTTAAAAAAATATTAGCACATGCACTTTGCACACATATTCTTTTTAAGATATTTCCTATCACTACTGTGATGTCTGCATTTTAATTTTCATCGTACTGCTTCTATACTGCCATAGTGTTTGAATTTTCCTGCTCGATTATCTTTATCAAAGAAAAGCTTTATAAGCTCACATTTTGTCTTCTTTATTCAAAATACCTGTAAAAGTGCTCTTCTTCATTGAACATAAGATAAACATGAGGAGACCAAAATCTAATCTGTGCCAATTAAGGTACGAAACCTGATAAGGTCGTTTCATCTTGAGGTCAATTAATATAGATGGGTAACAGAATTCTCTGACCCTAGCAATCATTGATTTCTAGATACAAATGTTAAAAATCACTAGAAGTAAGTAATGTTTCTTGTCTACTATAAAATGATCTGGCAATTTTCAAGCAATTAGACACCTTCCTCTTTTTTGATTCTGAAGTATCTGTGTCAAAATATTTGTTTTTTATTATGTAACCAAATTCAAATTATTTAAATTGATAGTACATAGTTTTCTTAGTTAATCTTTGACATGAAATGCAAAACAACTCAGCTGAATTGAAACAGTGACCACAAAAGTAGCAGAAGGTCCAAGTCAGAGACCAGTTACAGAATTTCTTAATGGTTAATATCTTATGGTTAAAATATATAAAATATATGGCCCTGGCTAAGCCAAGATCACTGATTTCTATTTTGTTTCTAATCTGTGTGGGGTAAATAAAATCAAGAGATCCAGAGATTCTTAAACTAGAAACTTACTTAATTAGGGGGCATACTGAATCTAGAAAGCACCATCCCCTTCTATTCATACCTTAGGCATAAGGATGAGGTAACTTCTATGGCTAGGAGGTCTGCATGGCCCCCAAAGAAAATGGACTGAACTGAATCTTCGTGACCAATCCTAGACAAATGACTGTTTCTGGATCCCTCAGCCTGCACGTGGTAGAGAACAACTGTCCAGGCCAACTCTAAGTTTTCTGGACGGTCAACGGATGCTACTAACAGTGGCTCTGTAAGCCTGGCTGGGCAAGTGGCCCTTATACTGTCCTTTTCTTTCCTATTGCAGGAGATGACAAACATATCAGTCAGCTCTTTACTCAGCATTCAAAGGTGGATTACTATATTATGTTCTGTATGTATATAAGCATCAAACCTACTAATTTTTAGCTCCTTATATATTTTACCAAAATAAATTATTTGCTCTGTGTAAATACAGGTTTTAGAGCATTCCTTAATTTACATGTTACCTATTTCTTCATCTTTTCTTTTTTGAACTATAGTTTATAGTTAAAAACTGCATTTTTCTTTTCATCTCAGACCATATCTATGTGAAATCAGTGACCACCTTTAAAAATATACGTGCTCCATGAAGTTCTGGTAGCATTATCTATAAGAAAGAACAGTCCTAAACTAGAAAATTGGTCCATTGCTCCTTATTAGAAGTCTTTTGACAACCCCACTCTTTGAAGTGCTTTTTTTTTTTTTTTAAATGTTTATCCAGTAGAGACTTTAGGAATTTTTTTGACCTTCTGTCGCATACATTTCCTAACTCTTCGCCTTTTGAACCTCCTCATGTTGTTTTTTTCTGGCACAGACTCTTCATCCTGCCTTTGTCTTCTTCCCATGCACATTCACCAGATACAGGAGATTTCAAAGAATGTTGAAAAACATGTTGCTTAAATCTTATTTAACATTGCCACATATTGGCTAATAGCTTATAAAAATAACTAATATCAGACATCAATTCAGAACACAAATTCAATGAGGCACATTTGGAGAGTGAGATAAGCTTATTGAGGTGATCCTATTCCATTATGAAAGAATATTGATAATAATAGTAATAAATAGTAAAATAATTAACTTCTTTTGAATGCTTATCATGTTTAGGAACTACCTGACCTCATTATAGGTATTTAGTTCATTTAACTATCCTAACCATCCTATTAACTAGGTACTATTTTGCAGATTAGGACACTGAAATACACTAAAGTTAAATGATATTCACAGTAATGGGAATTCATATATAGGAAGTCTGAGTCCAAAACCTATATTCCTAGCTACTAATACAAGCATATATGTATTTCTTAGTGATATGTAGACATATGATGACTATTTTATCTGTACATCTTTAAAAGTGACATTATAAATTTCTATTTACCAAAAAGTTTTTGTTGCTTTTATTTCAGGAAATCAAGTACAAGTAAACTCATTTCCCTCTGTAGATATAAAAAAGTTCTATTTTTTATTGTATTCTTTATGTAGATGAGCATCAAACATCAATCTTTGCCTCCTTTTGTACTTTACCAAAATAAACTATTTACTCTATGTAATAAAGTTTTTAGATGATTCCTCAATTTATATCTTACCTATTTTCTTTATCTTTTCTACTTTGAACTATAGTTTATACTTAAAACTGCATTTTTCATTTTTTTCTCAGATCATATTTACGTAACATCATTGACTGCTTTTAAATATGTATGTCCTCCACGAAGTTCTGCTAACATTATCAGTGAGAATTCACATGACATGTGAATATTTATTTAGATTTCGCTTTCTCTGCTTAAAATTACATTAGACATATGGCTTTAGCTCAGAGCACCTAGATAAGCCATATAATGACTTTTTAGAGTCTCAAACAGGCCTGAATGTTTCTCTCTCTGCCATACATCACCTTGGTGATGGAAATCAATATAATTCTAGCCATAAAAATGTTTTATCCTTGTCAACAAAAAATTACAAAAATAAAATAAATAATAATGGCAACTCTCCTTTAATGAATGCATACAATGGACCAGGCATATAGTACTTACATTTTCTCTAATCCCATAATAATCATATACTTATTTCATGAATGAGATGCTGAAACTTAGCTTAAGATGTTTAGCTAAGGTAAAATTTATTTAGTGGCAGAGTTGAGATTTGGACTCAGTAATATCTGAACTCATTCTCTCTTTAACACATTTCCCTGAGCTGTTAACCATGCTGAGGACAAAGTGACTTCTGACCTCCATAAGATAAATCACAATCCTGCAGCTCAGTGGATTTAATCTACATTGTATTCCATTATATTTGTCCTTCACTGGGTTTGTAGCAGTGGTGTTAGACCTAATATTTGTAAGGATGATATATCCTTATATCATCTTATAGATTCTGTCTTTGATGTTTAAAATTCATATCCCCAGGAAGCCTTCCCTGACATTACTTCACCTATATTTAGCCATCCCTTTATTTTCTGTTTGTCTTGTTAAAGTTGACATCCAATCTATGGCTTCAAATACTGTAAATTTACCTGCAGTTTTCACTATTCTCCTATGTTTCAGGCCCATATTTCTAACTATTGCCCACTGGATGGCTCTACCTAAGCATTTCTTCTGCAACTTAAATGCAGCACACTTCACTTAAACTCTTCACCCATAAAACAAACAGGCAAACCAACTCACAAAGCCCTTTACCTGATTTCTTGAATTCTTCTTTTCACTCAGATACCTCAGAATTATCTCTGATGTTTCTCTTTCCTAGCCTTGGTATTTATTATTAGGCACAAAAGATCACTGGATCTTTCCTTCCAGCTATCAATGTCCCATCCTAGAGCACTGCCTCATCAACTAATTTGTGACAGTCCCCTAATGATCTGATGCTTTCAGGCTCATTCCCAACAATTTAGTTTTTATCATTCATCAGGTAAAGACTCTTTTTTTTTTTTTTTGAGACAGAGTCTGGCTCTGTTGCCTGAGCTAGAGTGCCGTGGCGTCAGCCTAGCTCACAGCAACCTCCAACTCCCGGGCTCAGGCGATCCTCCTGCCTCAGCCTCCCCAGTAGCTGAGACTACAGGCATGCACCACCATGTCTGGCTAATTTTTCCTATATATATTTTTTTTAGTTGTCCAGATCATTTCTTTCTATTTTTTAGTAGAGACAGGGTCTCGCTTTTGTTCAGGCTGGTCTTGAACTGTTGACCTTGAGTGGTCCACCTGCCTCGGCCTCCCAGAGTGCTAGGATTACAGGCGTGAGCTACCGCGCCCGGCCAGGTAAAGACTCCTGAAGCAAAACTGGGTCATGAAACTATCCTCAAAACTTGAATGAGCTTCTCTTTCCATTGGTTCAAATTCCTCAGATAACCACCCAGGTCCTCCTACATTTGACTAGATCATCTCTGTTAGCCTTGGCTCTCATTAATCCCCTACAT